AACTTCGCCAGTCCCTTGATCTTAAGTGCTGGACAATTCCATTCGGGTTATTTTAGTGGAGATGGGCTGTAATAGAACTTGCACACACACGGAGGAGCTGATACCTTCTCCCGCAAGAGTTTGAACGAGGATGCCATAGGAGACCATCCGGCCGCAGCACTCGCGACCCCAACAGTAATAGAGCTGCATCCAGGGAGATCACAGAGAGGCATATCAAATAAATGCCATTCGCTTGTTGTGTGTAAGTATCTAGGCAAATGCTGTCTAAAGCCATCTGAACATAGGCCGACTTTTAGGGAAGTAACACGGCAAAATACCTATTTCCATGTTTATGGAACACCCTGTAGAATACACTCTGAAGAGGTATTGTATCAACTTTCATCAAAACATTAGGTTGTCCCATAAGTTCGTGCCACTTTTTTGCACCTCATGCCAAAACTACATTTAGCTATTTTTGAATATGAGCAAGTAGGCTCGCGAAAAGCCCACTTCGTGGAGTAACCTATACGCAAACCATGCCCACCTTAGCTGCTTTCTTCGAACTTAAACCGAAAACGAAGAGAGCCATGTTTTTCACACTTTGAATTATGGACTTCTGCTGAGCCACAAATCGGTCGAACCCAGGAGTTACGTTTACTTAGTGTACACCTCTTCGTCGTCGTTCTTCATGAGGTATCAAAATGGTGCAACCTGCTTCTCCTGGAGACTACAGCCTCGAGAAAATCCTGACCTTGGGAAGGCAATCGGTGTCCGATTTGGACCTGCTGTGCTCCCCATTAAAAGCTACCCGCACGAGCTCTTTGCTGTGTCCGACAGCACGCAGACGTTTCAGGTACACCGAATTGATAGAATCTGTCACCTCGTGAAATTTAGAGGCTGGACAAACAAATTGCTCATGAACTGACTGTTAAATAAGGAAGTGCACACCGAAGGTATGTCAACATCCTTAACCTATTCCATCCCTTACGCGGTGCTGAACAGCGTCTACTGGCATTATGGAAGTGTTGTTCATGCTATAGACCTGCGAAGCATCACGCCTAGATCGAAAGGGATGAAAACTATTAAATACAGGCTCGTTGGCTCACGTATGGGGAGCAAATCTTGAAAAAGCCACCGAGGACTTCCCCACAGCTTCGGCCTTGTAACATCCTAGATATCCTTCAATCAAGGCTGGGAGGTGGTCAGAAAACTCCGCCTATTACGCCCAAAATTTAAATACAAAGTACGGCTGTCTCCGGCGATAACCGGAAATACCACTGTTCATAGCAACACGGCTCTGGATTTCGAAGCTTAGCTGAGAAGTACAACCAGATCCATTAGGCAGCGGTGATCAGCTCCCTCCAAAGGCCAACTATTCATCTTGCTAAGTAATCATCTTACTGACGAAAAATACGATTCAAAAAAGGTGCTCGAAATCGACCTCTAGCCTTTTCCAGCTTGAAACTGCCGAACTTCTAGGAGCACGGCGTCGACACTCTGGTGGATCGTTGGCATCAAGTCACTGATAGCAACAGTCCACATGTTGATGATGGATATTGCTTTTTGTTGAGATAACCTTAACTCAAAAAATGTTCGAAAGTGGCACGAACTTTTGGGACAACCTAATATATTCGAATGTGAAGGATGGCTAAAAAGTATAGGACGCGACTTTGACCGTTTGCAGGCACTGAGTCGTGGAGAATTTCCGGGTTTTTTGAATACCCTTCAAAAAATTGGAGCTGTGTAAGAAGCTTCATAAGTTGATTGGTTTGGAGTTCATCTAAACTCGCGCTATGAAATTTTCTTCGCATCGACACATAATCAAAAGCCTGTCCATGGACGGCCTTCGACGTGCGAGTTCGCATAGCGGCCCGGTATTAAGTTTTCTACTGTTCGGAACATCTTCGGGCTCTCCGTTCAAGTACAGAAGTGGGCCACTCACGAAGATTAAGCCAGCTGAGTGACATCGCTTCTTGGTCACAGGAGGTTCGTGATCTACATCACGGGAGGCAACCTATTCTGGAGAGTTACCGTCTGTACCTGTGCCGGCTTTTATTGGAGCAATGCAAATCAAATCGGCAGATTAAATGCAAAAAGCTTCGGCGTGAGGTTGAGGCGTGCTGCATCTCTCCTACGATTTGACTAATAAGAAATTTTCGAAGTAGATTCTCTACGAACGTCACACCCAAGAGGCTCTGTTGTCAAAAAGTGAGAGCAAGTCTCCGCGTCGTGATAACGTTGGTTTTGATCAGGTTTTCTCCCCAAGATGTGATAGCTTGTGACGGGGTAAGTTCTGAAAGTGAATCTCTATTGCTGTTTATCTTCGGGAATTGTTTGAAAAACCTTGGAAGTCTTTCAGAAGGCTGTATTTAGGTACGCTGTGTTGTTCTTAATTCAGAGCATTCGAGCATTCCACTCAACAACCGTTTGCTCTCCAATGAGGTCAGACTCCCTAATACGCCTCCAAACCGACCAAAGCCGAACAGCTTTGGTCGATCTGGACGCGCACTTTTCTGGCCACTGGAGCGAGAATTTGTAACTACTCTTCCTCCATGCCTTTGACCCGATGAACTTCTCTGTGCGCAATGTTAGAGAGCGAGATCTGTGATGTTTTTGCAGCTAGATGGATGCGCTGAAGTTGGCGCTACAAAAGGCGTGGGACGTTACGCCGTTGGCCACATGCGGCGCACTGCTGTCAAAGCAAAATCGTCAAATTTAGAGCACCTCCTCAGTTATTGCATAGCCTACCTGTATCTTTCTGTACAGGTGATTTGTTAATAGGGTCCCGTTCTTCACTTTTATACTTAAAGGCAAACCCCGGGATTAGCCCGACTAGTAGGAGGGATACCACGAGGGAAATTCGTACGTAACTGGATCACTCCAGCTTCGTCGCAAAAACTGCGCGGTTAGGGCGCTAATCCTTACGGGCCCGCAACCATCGACTCCCGTTCCAACGCTTCCCACCCACCGCGAGAGGTGGTGAGATCAGCGTGCATTGATGAGAGATCAGCGTGCTCTCTCAAACGACGTCTCTCGCGTATTTTGTCTTCTTTGACCGCCCTTTCTCGCCATCGTACCACATCCGACCCTATTGAAGGTTAAGGCCTTATTCAGCAAATAACCAAGAGATTTACACTATTTCCTTTCCACATTCAGTTTCCGCATCGTAAGGCTATCACCACAAAGGCGCTGACACATACGAAGTTGTCCGATCCGATCTTGCCCTTAAAGGAAGTAGGTACGGAAAAGGAATTTTCACATCTGCGGAGAACCTGCTCCCCACAGAGCAACTAGCAGGCCGCCAAGGAAGCGATGTGTGGCGCTTGCACTGCGAACAGTGCTGTGGTTGCTGAGCAGGACCATTGCGCCCTTCCGCCCCATGCGCCGCCCCGCCCCATGATTCATCGGTGGCTTGGGCGAGCCGTTTGCCAGCCGCAGCGCGGTTAGGGCGCCATGCCTGCTGTTCGCTGCCCAGCACGCGTTGCGCAATCTCGTCCACGCGTGCGCGGTCTTCGCCGCAGTCCATCTGAGAGCCGCAATAAACGGCCCAAAAGGGGGTCCCATTTCTCGTTTCCTGGACCGATTTCGCTGCTTCTTTCGCCACTGACGTACCATTGAGGACCCCCTCGTCCCCTCTAAACCCCATTCAAACCTAGCGTAACCGCTGCCTTTAAGACAATGCGCCCTCTAACTTTTCAGCCACCTGTGGTTTCAGGGCAATTCAACTTCACTATACTTTTTTGTTAACTGCTGTTTTAACGCCGCAGTTCGCCTTGCGAATGTTTCACAAGAATGCTGGGTTGTGAACAAAACTTTCGCCCCAGGCGGGACTAGAACCCGCACCTCTCGCTTTCCGGGCAAGTGCGCTACCAGTTACGCTACCGGGGCACCATTTCATTCCAACTCAGCTCTTCATGGTATACGTACCATAGCTTTCAGCACTCACACGTATAACGTGTTGTAAAAATCATAAAAATCATAAAAATAATGAAAACAGTATACTTTATTTATTTGCACAAACTATTATTAGATTGACCATTGCCGCCAAACCATAGAAGGCTTTCATAATCCTATGGAACTTTAGATGAAGATCAAGGTAAGTGATTACAAAGCTTCCTTCAACCAAAGGGTGAGAGTATGGAAAAGAAAAGGGTTATGTAGTTCTAGGATCAAGCTTCACGATGTAGAAATCTCTACCCACAAAACGCGCACAAGAATTCCAGCCTCAAACATTGAAACACAAAATCCGGATTATCTAGAATAAATTCCGTTGGACGCCCTAAAAACTTTTCAACGCGCAAAACTACTATGGTTATCCTTCTGCAGGTTGTGAGCGAAAAATATTGGCAGGTATTGCAGCAAAAAGCAGACTGGGACCACGAAATTTGCTAAATGGCCTTACGAAGAAAAAAATGTTATATTCCTGATCAGGCCCCAATACGACTATAAGCTAGGTCTCCATTTTTGTTACCACCATTCAGAAATGCATTGATTAATCCAGGATCATATTCATACATCTATGTTCTTACATTTATTCTTTGCAGTGCTACGCAAGTGGAGAGAATGTGGGCAGATGTAAACTTGACAACTTGACAGACCGAAGCGCCAAGGTCCTAGCATGCAGCATTAACCCCAACCCTTCACATCTCCACTGTCACATAAGCGTAATAACATATCACTCTGATCATAAACTTTGCCTTTAAAGCCTCTCTGGTTTTAGCCTGTGTGGTGTACATTGGAGAAGTCAGGTCGATTTCGCACTAATAATTTGAAAGCATATCACATAGCAATTCAGCACAAGTCATATTCGTGCCTATGTCCAACGCTATTTCCACGTTTCAGAACATGGACGCATGATTTTTTGAGTACAGTTGGAGATCACTGTGACGAACTATGATAATATCGAGATAATACAATATCAATTGTAAAGGATGACATGACATGATGACATGATATTTAGATGACATCGATACTGATGACGACGGTAAGATAGAATGTGTTAAAGTGAAGGCTTCTATTTACTAGACTAGGATAAGTTTTGTGTCTTCGGAAACTCCGAACTTGGTTTTGTGCTGTTCGAAGAGCTCTGTAAGAGCTTCGCAGTATTTACGATGGAAGCGATCCACTTCTTCATTTGTTGGTTCCCGAATCTTTGGAACGTCTATTGGTGTACCAACGACGGTGTCCACCGGTGTCCGGAAAGGCAGAAAACCGAAGTTATTCTGAAATGAGCGTTGAATTGTATTGAAACTGTCGGTTACACAAACACTGTCTGGTAATTTGAATAAGAATTGAATATGGTAAAAAGATGGCGGGATGAGGGTAAGCGGACCCGGCCTACAAGTTGGACAAACGCTAAAGAATAAGAAGAAGATGGCGGGATGAGGGTAAGCGGACCCGGCCTACAAGTTGGATAAACGCTAAAGAATAAGAAGAAGATGGCGGGATGAGGGTAAGCGGACCCGGCCTACAAGTTGGATAAACGCTAAAGAATAAGAAGAAGATGGCGGGATGA